CCGGCTGTTGGGAAAAAAATCAGCTCCGTCCCAGCCGCAAACACAGCTGAACTCACAGCTCGCGGCCCAGGGCTTCAGCAGATCCAGCTGCTGATGCTAGGTTAGGAGTGGAGCAGCAGTGTACCGGATGTGATGCTCTAACCCCTGCGTCCTAACGCGAAATGATCAACTCTGCGCCGTTCGTTCTATTTAAAACTTACTTACTTAAAACAACGAGTATTCCTTAGCGTTCACATCCTTGTGCAGGGTGACGGTGCCCATGTTGGTGCTTGCAAGCATTAAATAGAAACCGGAGACCGCAGCACCAGGCAGGGCCCAGCTCTGGTTGCTTTCCCAGTGAGATCCAGCGTTCTTGGGGAAACCCGGCTCTCCCAGAAGAGCCGGGTGAGCATGCGGCAGCCCTTCCCCGCGCCGCACCGCAGTGCCTGCCAACGCGTCTGCAGTGGGGGATAGTCCTTTAGCAAGGGGCGGGACGGCCTGGTGGGCTCCCAGCAGGCTGTGGACTGGGCCAACACCGCAGCATGGCCCAAGAGGATGATCTCATGGCACTGAATTATGATTAATTGCTGGACGGTGCGTCTTTGTGTAGCGAGGCCGGGCACCTTGCAGCGCAGCCTTGTGCAAAGCTGCAGAGCCCAGCACGATACCCACCAGCCAACTGGGTGTAAACTGGGATGATCCATCCTGTTTCTTTGCAGGAGAAAACAATGGGTTTTCATACACCCTGTTAGTGGGGAGTGCAGCCAAGGAGACTTCTGCCCCTGCCCGGGCAGCGTGGCCTGGTGCAGGGCAACCCTCTGCGTTGGTACGGGCAGGAGAGCAGCCCTTGGCGTCGATGCCCATCACGGCTGCTCGCGCTGTAACGTCAGCACATAGCATGGTTTGGTGTTCCGTGCTTCGGGACAGCCCAAACTGCTGGAATGCAGGCACACACGGTCACAGATATGAATGTAGGTGGGAGCAACCCTGCTATATCCGTGAGCCCGTTGCTGTGAGTTGGAGCTGAAGCTGACGTGAGCCAAAGCCAAGGGGCTCGGGGGGCGAACGGAAAGGCCGGTGGGCTGTTAGGCCATGGGCCAACCCTGGTGTGGCAGGGCTTGGAGCCCAGCTCCCGCACGGCGACTGCAGCTGGTGTCCCCAGCTCCCCCCGTCGCAGAGCAGGCAGGCGTTGGCCAGCCCGCCGCGGGGCAGGGCTCGTGGCCGGGGGGAGACTGACGGGCGTTTGGCAGCTGCTGTGGTCTGGAAACAAGCGGCAATGCATTCCTGGGCACGTTCTCCTTCCTGCCCCAGTGCCATCGTCACCTCCTCCCGGGTAGCTCTGGAGCGAGCAGCTGCTGCTCCCTCCTCTCCGGTAGCCTGAACCGGCACGTTTGTCTCCCTAGATGGGAAGAGGAGTACACGGTGCGTGTCCAGCTTCAGGACCGGGTGACTGAGCTGCAGGAGGTGAGTATGGCGGGGGGTCCCCCCCCCCTTCACTCTGCACCCA